TCCTCCTTTCCATGTGCACATGGAAAGAAGCTGAGCTTCCAGAAAGAAACAGTTACACTAAGAAAAAGTATGTCTATACGAGTGGTAGATCATTTTCTTCAAAGCTAATCTCAGTTTCTACTTGACTCTATAAATGAATTATGTCCTTTAATCAAATGCCAGTGGAACATTTAATATTTTAAAGTCAACAACAGCTACTTTGTGTAAAAGTAAATAAACTCACTAGAAAAACAAAACAAATTTCAACTTTGTACATAAAACCTTGGGTGGGGGGACCTAAGGCTTGAAGAGAACTGGAATTAAACCCAGTCTACCAGGAGCAGAACGTGACAGACTAGGATGATATCACACTGTACTGACCACATTTACAGAACTGAACACGGCACCATCCGCACTTAGTGTTCAGCTCTAGGGGCTAGAGAGACGGCTCAGTGGTTAAGAGCAGGGGCTGCTCTTCCAGAGGTCCTGAGTTCAATTCCCAGCATTCACATGGCAGCTCACAATCGTCTATAACTGTAGTCCCATGGGACCCAGTGCCCTCTTCTGATAGAAAGACATACATGATGACAAAGCATCATATACATAAAATACATTAATAAATTTTAAAAAAGAAAACAGCTATATAGAATCACAAATGAAAAACTTCTTGAGAATAGCTATGTAAATATTAAGCTATTACCCAGTTCTTAAAAATATTCAAAAACAACAGACTCCAGAAAGAGTTAGAATTGAGTGTTCGGTATCAGTATGTGACAGTCGGGGGGATAGGTCTCACACCCTAGCCAAGAGGAAAAACTAAGGTACTTAGGACTACCCAAAAATGTGCAGTTTGGAAAAATAGGATTTCTGGGTATAGTGGCACGTGCCCGTAATCCCAGCACTCAGCAGGTGGAGGAGGCAGGATAATAAATTTGAAGCTAACCTGCATCACATGGTGAAACCCAACCTTAAGAAAACCCCTAAAATTCTTTTGATTCAAATACCATTAAACTAATACAAGGAATAATCAGAGGAGGTCATTTCAGTGAGGAAAGGCTTCCTGAAGTGTTTCTGAACAAGGTTCTGTGCAGTCAGAACTAGCAGTGGGAATACGGCAGGCAGAATGTGTGAATAAGGGAGCCCAGCTTGGGGAAGGAGCAATACCCTTTAGCTGACCCAGCACACACACAAGAATGGAAAGGTAGCCCGTTCTGAAAATAGATTCACAGCAGGAAGTTACAGGTCTAAGTTGTCTAAAACTGGCAATATTCACAATGTGAGATGTCCACATAACCCTGGGACATGGAAAACGATCGGACTGGGAGACAATATTCTAAGAGATGTTTAAGATCTTTAAAGTGCAGTCAGAGAGTAAAAACTTCGGAAGATCAACCAGTAGCACATGCCAGAGAACTGAAACTACTTTACATTTTAAGATAGTATTGATCTGTTTGTTTTATGTGTGTGAGTGTTTCAGCTGCACATAAGGCTGTGTACCATGTGCATGCAGTACCTAGTGGAGGCCAGAAGAGGGTGTCAGATCCCTTAGGACTGGAGTTACAGGTAGTTGTGAACCACCATATAGACACTGGGAATTGAACCCAAGTCCTCTGGAAGATGAACTAGTGCTCTAACCTGCTAAGCCATCTCTCCAACCCCTGCTAGTTTGTGTTTGATAGAAGATAATGATGTAAAGAACATTAATTCAGGACTGAGAAGATGGCTCAGTAGGTAAACCTTTTGCCACCCAAGAGTAAGGACCCAAGTTCAAGTCTCCAATAGCCACTTAAATGTCAAGTGGATGTGGTGATCCACCTATAATCCCTATGCTTAGAAGGTAGAGATGGGATTCTCTGGACAAGCTTGCTAGGTAAACTAGCCAAATTGGGTGAGAGACCCTGCCTCATATATAATGTGGAGAGCAATAGAGGAAGACACCAACAACTTCTGGCCTCCACCCACATCCACACATGCATGCACACCATATACAAAAATGTATTTAAAATGTGACTTCAGCATGCTGTATTTTATAGAGTACTATAAGCTAAAAAGGGAAAAAGTTATACCTGTGTGCTTAATGTTTTATACCCGACTCTTATATTCCAGGCTTTATACAAGCTTTACAGTGCAGCAGCAACCCACAGACACCTGTATCATCAAGCTTTTCCTGCACCCAAGTCAGAGCCTACTGAACAACCAGAAAAGAAGAAAATTTAAGTCAGTAAAAACAAATGCAGGTGCATGACCATTTGTCACTTAACTATCAGAGCTTTTGTTTCCATGCAAACATTCAAAGTGCTTCCTTCAGAACAGAGTGAAAGCCAAACGCTTGAGAACTCGAGCAGTCCAATTCTTTCCTCCAGTGATTAATAAGCAGATGTATGTATGTATGCATGGGTCTTGGTTAATATGTGCAGTTTCCTGATTTTCGTCTTTAAATACGCTGTTATCATTTCAGGTATTTGTAAACTGGAGGACAGTAGAGGTGTTCTCCTTGACTTCACTAAGTTCTACTACTGGGTTGTAATTAAATATTGTGTGACACCACTCCAGGTTTGGATATGCTCATTTAATTTCTATAGGAAATTTATTTTGCGTAGCTATTTGTTAAAGCACAGCATAACTCAGCAGGCTTGATTTAATCTATATAATCTTATACATACAACAGGCTCTTATCTTGAAATATATTTAAGAGCTTAAAAGTTGCTTTACCAAAATGATACATTGTTTCTTTTTATATTTATGACTTAATATAGAATGTAAATCTCTTGATTAAAAATGCACAGAAGTTGTTTTGTACGTGTGTTTGCGTTTCACTGCTCTGTATAGTTTTTCATTTGGTACACCAGAAATGTATTCTCATAGGTTTATTCTTTTAACATGTGAACTATTAAACTTTACCCTGGTTCCTAACGTTAAAACAAATGCTTACTGACTCTACAACTATTTGGGAGGTGCTGCTGTGGCATGAAGGGCTTATCCTACTGTAATTCAAGATGCATTTTCTTTCTGATACCATTTCAAGAGGAGAGTGGGTGTTCAGGGTGGCATGACCATACACTATTTCTGATACCATTTCAAACTTAAGAAACACAAGCTAATTGTATTAGGTACTTTCTAGTTACTTGATTTAAAAAAAAGTTTAATTTTATTGCTTTATTTTTCTGGACAAAATTTTGCTGTGCAGCTTAGGCTGGCCTTCAACTTGTGATCCTCCTGCCTGCCTCCCCAAATCCTGAGAACACAAGTATGTGCTGCTCTCCGCAGTGTCCTTCATGTTCATATAAACCAGGGGGCCTGTAATTTATTTCTAATGACTGAAATCTTTAGTGGAGTTTTATTAAGTAAACCAAACGCGAGAGGAAAATAGAACGAGGTGGGAGGCTGAGTGTGGTAGTGCACACCTTTGATTCCAGCACTTGGGAGGCAGAGGCGGGTGTATTTCTGTGAATTTGAGGCCAGCCTGGTCTACAGAGCAAGTTCCAGGACAGCCAGGGCTACACAGAGAAACCCTGTTTCTAACAAACTAACAAAGGCAGTGGGAGGGGAGAGTAGTAATGGGGAAAAGGTCACGCCTCTTACCTATCTGGGAGCCCCCAAACAGGTTTAATTGTCTCAGTAATGGTGACCAAAAGCCAGTAGAGACAGGAGAGTACATGCAAGTTCGCATCAGTACATCAGTTACACTTTCGAAGCACCTGGCCTTATGCTCACTGGTAACATCCACCAGTCAGATTTCAGTTTCCACTCCCCTTTCATTATAGGCTTCTTCCTTGGCTTATAGGCCTTCTGAACAGAAAAGCATCAAACATTGTACTGAATCAAAAACACCAAAACATGGACTCAAGGACCAGATGGTTTCCACAAAAATATATTTAATAACTTGTCATATAAAATCAAACACAATATTTTATCAGTAATTCAAACTCACTTCTAACACAGAGTGCTTGCATTTGGGAAAACTAAACTAAAATATATACATATTCACAACACTTGTAAGCACAACTGAAGAGCTATGAAACTCACAGAATTCTAGATTTACAGCTGCAAGTTCCATAAACTTATCTTAACCAAGTGTTTGGCTCTAATTATGAACAACTGTTAAGCCAAAAGCAAGACAAATGGGAAGGAGTGACCTGTTTCTAGACCTTTACAATGAATACTTCTCTATGATAAAAAAGGCAATATAAAACTCACAAATGACCAAGATTTTTTACTGGATCCCTGATTGTCAGTTTTGGCAACTTGGCCGAGCCTGGTGGAAGGCAGTGAGCTATGTGGTCAGGAAGCCTGCCCTGTGTCTCACCAGAGCCTTGCTAACTGGAGTTGTGTGCTCTGGCTCAAAGGAAGGAGGCAGTATTGGCAACAGGTGCACAGGCCTTCCCCACACAGGCTAAGGCCTTGTGGTTAACATATTGCTGAAAGGCTTTATCACCCCACTTCAAAGGTGCTCCTTACATTAGGGAGGAAGAGGAGGGGGAGATGACCACATACATCATACACAAGTTCATCACAAGAAAGGTTCCAAGTCCTATTTTGTATTTTGAGCTACACTCATAGTAATGGTCAATCCACCTTATTCCAGAAAGTACTTCACACCACAATAAGCAACTTTTCAAAAATGTGCTCTCGCCCTCTTCCTGTCTCTGAACAAGAAGAGTGTATTCCATAAGAAGAAAGAGTGATTGTTTGCTAAATGCCTGGTTATGATGATGTTCTCTTCCTGTACTCTTTTTCATCAAGAATATTCAAAGCGGTTTCTTAATATACAGCATTTGGAAGTGTATGCCATATTGGCTCTTTAAATGATAAAACTGGTTTTTTTTGTTTCAATACAAGAAAAAAAATTGGTAACAAAATATATGTAAAACTAGAATTTTCTAATTCCAAATAGTAAGTTGCCTTTATTAACCAAAGTACTTGTTTGCAGTCATTTATCTGAAAATATTCGAAAGCTCTTAGAAAGCTTGGACTGTGATGAACTTAACTTAAGAACTTGTCGCCGTGCTGCTGGGCATACCACTGCCGTCTCTGCTTGCGGTTTTCCAGCTCTGTGAGAAGAGCCTGTCTGTAGGCCTCATACAGCTTAACGATCTGCTCCAGCTCCTTCATGAAGAGCAGCTTCAGCATTCCCTGGTACGTGTCCAGGTCAGCCAGCTGGAAGAGCTCCCACTTCAAAATGTGGTCGTATCTGTCAGAAAGCAGTGTTCATAACAGAATACATAAATGTGCATTTACAACAATAAACTGCTATATTTTATAGACATTTTTATTATAAGTAAACAAACTAAGTTTTAATAAGTTTTATTTTAAAATATTTGAGTTAGTAAAACTTTTTTTTTTTTTTTGAGTTGGGGATCTAACCCTGAACTCCTGGGCTCAGGATATCCTCTTGCCCCACCCTCCTCAGTTGCTGGGAATACAGGAGCACGCTAATACACATGGTTCTAAATACACTACTTCTCCTCTTACCTCTCTTTTTAAATTCATTTACAGATTTTTATGCGTATGAAGACTTTGCCTGCATGCATGTAACCGCACTGTGTGCATGCCTGGTGCCCAAGAAAGCCAAATAAGATGTCAGATCTCCTGGAACAGGAGTTAGTTTTAAGTTGTGGGAGAACAGCTCCCACTTTTCTGTGACAGGGAATTCTTGAAGAAAGAGGGATAAGAGATATTAGATAGAAGGATAGAGGGGAGAGAAACAGAAAAACAGGATAGCCTCGGGAGGGCCTGGATCCTTATCTACCAGCCCCTTCTGTCTCTTCTAAAGGGCTATTTATAGGAATGCCAAGGGGTGGAGCAAAGACCTCCCCCTACCTCAGCCAAGTGTAGACCCTTCCAATCACCTGGTAACCATGCACATGGCCAAGCAATCCTCTAATGCAGCCCTGCTGGGTAAAGCAAGCTCAGATCTCACCTAGGATACCTTTGTGGGCTTCCACATTAAGTCACCATATGGTTCTGAGAACTGAACCAGGGTCCTCTGCAAAAGCAGCAAGCACTCCTAACTGCTCTCTCTCCAGCCCTAAGTACATTTTTTTTTTAAACTTGAGAGATTTTTTTTAAAGATTTATTTTTATGTGCATGGGTGTTTTTTGCCCACATTATGTGTCTATGCACCACATGCATGCTTGGTGCCCATGGAAACCAGAAAAGGGCACTGGATCCCCTGGAACTGGAATTTCAGACAATTGTGAGCTGCCGTGTGGGTGCTAAGGAACTGAACCTGGGTCCTCTGCAAGAGCAGCCAATGGTCTTAACAAGTGAGCTATCTTTCCAGTCCCAAATGCACTTTTTTTTTTTTTTTTTTTTTTTTTTTTTTTTTTTTTTGGTTTTTCGAGACAGGGTTTCTCTGTGTAGCTTTGCGCCTGTCCTGCAACTCACTTGGTAGCCCAGGCTGGCCTCGAACTCACAGAGATCCGCCTGGCTCTGCCTCCCGAGTGCTGGGATTAAAGGTGTGCGCCACCACCGCCCGGCGGCACTATTTTTTAAGGAAGGGGAAAAAAACTGTTAAATATTACTTCAGATTAAAAATTAGTCCTGGGCAACCATTAATACCAACTCCAGTCTATAGTGGTTCTGTAATTTCCAAAAAAAACATCCTATTACAGTTTTCAGGGTGAATGTCCATTATTAGAGGAATGTAAACATAGCAAGTCACGTGCCTGTTAGGTTAATGTCATCATCTCAAATCACTGCAGGGCAGACATAAAAGGAAGCTTTAATTACAAATTCTAGATTTCTTTTTAATAATCACTATATCCTACCGAATAGGTACATTTGCTATTTTATTCCAAAAGGACCATCCATCTAATATAAAAATATATATGGCTTCAAAAACAAGACACTGAGCAGTTATTGCAAGCTGCCCAGCGCAGCACACAGTTCCAGCCGTCTTGGGTGTGTGCACCAGGAACACCAGCAAAGCCCCGGGAAGCATTTCGCTAGACTTCCACTTTTATTCTCTTCCTTGAGGATGAAAACTTACTAACAGAAGACTGGTTTCTTTGCAGAAGCCTGGATATTCTTCTCTTTTCTGGGCACTCTAACTCCTGGGAACTGGAGTTGCATGAAGAAGCAGTTACGTCTCAGGTGTTCCCCAGAACTGCTGTCACTCAGGTAGTTTATCTATGATTTCTCTGAAATAAACTCGTATTCCTAACAAAGAACTCAATCTCCCAGAGTGTTCTGCTTTGAGTGAAAGTTTCATCGGTGTACCAAGCTCTTACCTGGGTTCTTGTTTGGTTATAAGTAACTACATCAACTTACAAGTTAATCTTATAAAATGTAAGTAAAGAAAACAACAAAAATTAAACTTGTCCATACTTAGTATTCTTAGGTATCAATTACCAGAGGTCCGCACACAAAGTGATGAGGATTCAGACATCTTTCAAGAATTCTTACTTCTAATCAAAGAGTTAAACCTTATAAGCTCTGATATCCTTTCTTAAATGTTACATAGAGGTCCAATATTAAAAGAAAAGCATGGTACTTTACTTTTTTTTTTTTTTTTCGAGACGGTTTATCTGTGTAGCCCTGACTTAGAGTCTTAGAACTCGCTCTGTAGACCAGGCTGGACCAGAATGCAGAGCTCCATCCACTTGCCTCTGCCTCCCAAGTGCTGGGATTAAAGATCTGCACCACCACTGCCCAGCTAAGCATGGTCCTTAAGTTGAGCTTGTTAGAGACCCCAAGATACTGGTGCTGTGTGCTCACTTACTTCACAGGGGCTCGGGCGTAAACCTGAAGCCAGTCAGGAATTTCTGCAGTATGGTAAGGATTTGCAGGGACCAGGAGGGACTGATTTCTTTCAGTTTGCTGTGGCTGGTATGTGATGGGAGGAGGCTGATCATACCGAGGTACGCTAAGAAAAAAGAATTGACATTTATTAATACAGAAGCCCCTTCACATAGGCCAGAAAGTATGATGACCATACAGCTTTTTTTTTCCCCCCTCGAGACAGGGTTTCTCTGTGTAGCTTTGCGCCTTTCCTGGAACTCACTTGGTAGCCCAGGCTGGCCTCGAACTCTCAGAGATCTGTCTGGCTCTGCCTCCCGAGGGCTTGGATTAAAGGCGTGTGCCACCACCGCCTGGCGACCATACAGCTTTTAAGGCTCTTCAATGTGCTTTCTGGCCAAACCGACTATCTTCCACCCCAACAGAACTTTCTCGGTTGAACTGTGCGAGAGTATGGAATTCGTCCTGGCAAACATCTGGAGTGCGCACTTCTGTGGCAACCGACTTCTTGTTGGCTCCAATCCAGAGACTGAGACTAAAGAAAACATTCTGGACGAGTTCAGTGAAGTCGCAGGTTTAACAGGGTTTGGTGGATGTTAGTCTCGGTCATCAACCTGATGACATAAAATGAAGATCACCAGTCAGCAGCATGAGCCAGATGCTGGCTGACAGTGGAAAAGTGAAAGTGGGGGAAGATGTAGCTACAGTTTGTGGTGGTTTGGAATAGGGATGGCCCCCACAGACTCATAGATTTGAGTGCTTGCTCACCAGGGAGTGGCACTATTAGCTGTGGCCTTGTTGAGTAGGTGTGGCCTTGTTGGAGGAAGTGTGTCACTAGGGTAGGCTTTGAGGTTTCAGATGCTCAAGCCAAGCCTAGTGTCTCTCTTCCTGCTGTCTGCTGATTCAGATGTAGAACTCTCAGCTACCTCTCCAGCACCATGTCTGCCTGAATACTATCATGCTTCCTGCCATGGTGATAATGGACTAAACCTCTGGACTGTAAGCCAGCCAAAATTAAGTGTTTTTCTTCCTAAGAGTAGCCATGGTCATGGCTACTCTTCACAGCAGCAGGACACTGACTAAGACACAGTTGAATGGGCTGACCCTGTGGAAGAACCAGATCCAGAAGTCGCAGCTATGGTAAAGTTTTATGAGAAACTTGGCTGCTACAATGACAGAAGTAGTACTGGAAAAGTCATTTTCTGAGTTTGGAAAGCTGGAGAGAGTGAAGAAGTCACAAGGTGATGCATTTCTTCATTTTGTAGACAAAAGAGCTACTGTTGAGGTTATGAATGAAATGAGCAGAGAAGAGACAGAAGGGGTTGAAACTGTCTCAGCTCAGCCACCACACAAGACAAGGAGAGTGACAAGTTGCTAGGCAGGCTTCCAGAAGTAATATATATGAAGATTGTTCCAAATAAGATGTTGAGGCCATGGTGGAGGGAGAGGTGGATATGGCTACCCTGCAGATTGTTGGTACAGCTATGAAGGCTACTATGATGATGACTATGGTTATGGTTACCATGACTATCATGGAGGATAGGAAGATTCCCTACTATGGCTATGATGACGGCTATGCATGAGAGAAGGATGGGGAGGGTGAAGTGTTACACTACCACCAAGGCGTGGGGAGCACCATGTCTACGAGGTAGAGCTAGCTATTCACGGGGGGCATGTTGTGGAATATTATTTTAAGATGTGTTACATTTGTTTATGCTGTGGAACATTTGTTTAATGATGCAAAATGTGTTGTATTTTTTTTCCCCGAGACAAGGTTCCTCTGTGTAGTTTTGGAGCCTGTCCTGGATCTCGCTCTGTATACCAGGCTGGCCTTGAACTCATAGAGATCTGCCTGCCTCTGCCTCCCGAATGCTGGGATTAAAGGCCTGCGCCACCACCGCCTGGTTGTGTTGCATTTTTTTTTATGTTGCATTTGTTTAACTCTGTGAAGCTGTGTTACTGTGCCTGTCTAAAACACCTGATGGTCTAATAAAGAACTGAGCGGCCAACAGCAAGGCAGAGAAAGGACAGGTGGGGCTGGCTGGCAGAGAGAGTAAATAGGAGAAATCTGGGAGGAGAAGATCGAGAAGCAAGAAAAGGAGGCCTCGAAGGGCCAGCCACCCAGCTGCAGAGCAAGACAAGGAGTCAGAGTAAAGAAAGGTACACAGAAATAGAGGAAGACAAAAGCCCAGAGGCAAAAGGTAGACAGGGTAATTTAAGAAAAGCTGGCTAGAAAGAAGCCAAGCTAAGGACAGGCATTTATAAGTCATAATACATCTTTGTATGTGATTATTGGGGAGCTGGGTAGCAGGGCCCCCAACAACAGGGGGGTGGGGGGGTGAGCACATTTGAGATCACCAAGAGGCTCAAGACCTGTAGAACAGTAGAGAGGCCCTTGTCCTTGTGGAGCTCAGGGCAACTGAGGGGGCAATGTAGGAGGCAAGAAAAAAGCAGATGGATACAACCAGCCTGATTCCAGATGTCATGAGGCCAGCAACTAACAGAACCGTGTTCCTAACCCACAGATCAGCACTGCCTCAACAAGGTGTTAACTATTCTGTTAACTATGGTTACAATAATGACAACAAGAATTTTATCAGGATATTTAGCGGCAACAGTGGAAACAGACAAGTGAGGAGGGCTGGACAATGGTACTGGCCAGGTATGACTGGCTCTAGAGCTACATTCTTCAAGACAAAGCTGCCTTAACTGTTTCATCTGTGAGGGCAGTTTGTTGCCATCTGTATTAAGCTGAAGAAATCACTGTGTATACAGCCCAGGCTTTTTATCTTTCTTCTTTTCATAAGTGATCTTGGACATTGTTTAGGGTTGTGGAGTTCCCTTATTATGTATGGGGTTACAATGCTTTTATCGTTCCAGGATTCATTTTAGCTTCAAAACAATCTGTTACATCAGAACCTTTGGTTTGGACAGTTCTATTTTTCTGGACTCAGAACAGATTTCATAAGTGTATGAAGTATACTATAAATCAAGTACAAGCTAGTGCTCTGCCTTAGTAGTCTTAAGAAATTAAAGTGAACAGTCTTAATGTTTTTTGTTTTGAAAACAAGCTTAGACTATATGTTTAGCATTCCTAGAAACAGAATAACTATGCTTTTAAATGTTATAATTCCACCTTTTTGAAATCTGCCCTACAAAATTTGTTTGATGTATATGTCCAAACAATGACAGTTTGTTCTTTGATGTGATTATATCTCTTATTTCTTGTTCATGTGAAATTTTAATAAAACTCAAATCTATTTTAAAAAAAGCAACAACAAGTTAAACCTTCCGTATTTTAAAACATTTCTTCTGGCTGGTATTCATTCTTTTTAATGACAGTTCAGCGGTGATAAAAAAGCTGGGCCTTAGTTTTAACCTTCATACAAGGCTTAAATTATAAGCACAGGTTTCTGCAAATAACTAGTAACTTGCCAACACCTATACTGGAAAGGTCTATAGCTTTTCTCAAAACAAAGGAAGATGTCTCTCTTCTTCCGCTGACTGAAGAGGTGAGGGTGGGGTATGCAGTGCAGCAGGACCTGGCCAGGCAGACACCTGGGCCCTGACTAGAGCCTGTGTGAAAGCATCGAGAATGAAAAAGGGTCAGGTTTCAGTCCGTGTGTCATGTGTCGTGTCCCCGTGTGTCGTCCCCCCCGACCGTGTAAGCCGAGAAGGGAGGACTGCTTATATAGGAGTGAGATGTTCGCAGAGGGTACTGTGCAAAGTACTCAACGCCTGCAGGCTACAGAGTGAAGTCTGGGAAGTCAAACTGAGCTATTTCAGGCAGAAAGACAAAACTGAAGAGTCTGCCTCTAAACAAAAAAGACATGTGAATATAAAAAAAGGTCACTGCTTTCTTAACTGGCATTAAAATAAGGTCTAGATTATACTCTGGTTAACAGTTCAGTTTACTTTAAGATTATTTATGTGTCTGTGTGTGTGGGTGTGTGGGTGTGTGTGTGTGTGTGTGTGTGTGTGTGAGAAATGAAACCATCATCTGGAAAATGGCTTTACGAACCATCAACACTCTTCAGTAATACAAGGTGTGATAAACAGAAGGTAACCTTTCAAATCTGGTTATACAGACTGCTACTGTATGACAGCAGACATAACCATGGTCTTAGTTCTTCAAAAACTTCATGAAGTTATTCAATAAAGCTGACTAAATGCCGGGCGGTGGTGGCGCACGCCTTTAATCCCAGCACTCGGGAGGCAGAACCAGGCGGATCTCTGTGAGTTCGAGGCCAGCCTGGACTACCAAGTGAGATCCAGGAAAGGCGCAAAGCTACACAGAGAAACCCTGTCTCGAAAAAAAAAGCTGACTAAATGCCACTAAATGTAATCACCGGAAAAAACAGACTTCCAACAAACTGTATTAGGCCAGATGACCCTAGGCAGTATCTTTCCATGTGCTTAAGACATTTCCCCATTGTACCCAGTTCTTGCAGCTTAAACATGACTAATGTGAACTATTTGCTTCTTCACTATTACATTAATATAGTTTTCTATGTACTTTGAAGCACAGTGTCTATTTTATACTTACAGCAATCTCAATTGGATTAATCAAGTTTCAAGTGCTCAATAGCCACGCATGACAACTGGCTACAATAATAGATAACACAAGGCTTAAGTGTCATTCAAAACAGCCCAAAGAACTACTTGTAATATTTATTAAAAAGCTAGACTGTTTTGTTCCATTCCAAATTTTCAGAAAGAAAACAACATAAAATCGTGTCTGAAGTTGACTAAAAACAGCAAGATAATGTCAAAATTTCAAAGTATATTGGTCTGACTTAGGGAATTTAAGATGAAGAGCCGGGTGATTTATTAACTTGAATTTTGGGTATCTACAACAAAACATTCTGGCATCTCTTCTAATTGGAATCTATCTCAAAGATACATTTGTTTCAGGTTGCTCCAAGAGAAAAAAACTTTTAAAAACTTACTAATTATTAAAATCACTCATTATTAAAATATATCTAGGATAAGTATAAATTTTGAGAAGTAACTATTTAAAATCTTAAGCTTCAAGATGCTTATTCTCTTCCAAATGTGTGAGACCAAAATCTAACATGGGATGATCTCAAAGTAGAAAACCAACACTGAAGGTGCTATTTTACCTGGGAGCACACGGGTGCCTGTACTGAGCCCTTTTATTGGTGTGGTCCACATAATAGGTTCCAAATTCTGATGACTCGACTCGTTCCCACCCGGGAGGAAGTCCTTCTCGTTCAAGAGGATGACTCCAGTGAGTCGTGTTTGTGTTATGATCTATGTAGTATTTTCTCCCTCTCATTGTCCAGTCCACAGACCAGCCAGGGGGAAGGGGTAAATCTTCAGAGCCATGGTTAGTTAAATTCCCTAGAGATGTAGCAGCGACTCTCCCAATACCTGAAAGGAAAAGAAAATGGGGCAAGTGTTCAATTATCTGTTAAAATTTATGATTATGTCAGTATAAAATTTCCACAAAATTCATAAAATACTATTAAATTAGAAAGAGAAAAATGAACTGAATTTTGAAACGAATATGAGTTTTGGCTTGTTTGTTTGAATCTTCCATCACCAGGGTACAGGAACACTTAAATATTTATACCACTAAATGAAAGGAAAAATAAATCCCAGTCAAGATTTAAGATTTGACATTTCATCCAAAAAGTTTTTAAAAAAGCAAAAGTAAACTTGTAAAACCATTCCCAGTTTATGATTTTTTCAAAGAATCGAGCTGCGCCCTAGAATTTTAATAATTTATTATAATTTAATATAATAATTATCAAGGCAAGTCATACAGTCAACATGCAAGAAAGTCAAATAGCCACATGCTGACCACAACTAGAAATAGAAGTTCATGAAATAACACCACTTATAATGGCTCTAAAAGTCAAAGTCAGGTTCCCAATTAACTGACATGTTTTTAGAATATGTACTATATATTTTATATATTTGGCTAGCAAAATGTTTAAAGAATGATAATAAACCCATTTTTCAACTCTTGAAATTATCCTGACACCCTTAATATGCTGAAATGTTAGAATCCCCGCTTAGATTAGAAGCAGTGTTTCTTTCAATCATTTCAGTATCTGTAAACAGCAGTGACAAAAATAATTTAGAAGATACATTCAAATTAAGCATGCTTGAATAGAAATGCTTCTGTTCAAACTCTGAAATTCTAAAGGATGAAATGTAACTTTATAAATAAATACAGGTTTTTGGCAGGTGTTTTAAAAACTGTTTGCAAAAGGCTAGTAACTGTAGCCTAGTCTACAGGAAGGCAGATGAACCACTGTTGTCATAGTAGACGATTATGGACTGCACAGCTACACACACGAAGATGCTTTCTACTTAATCTCTCTGGCGACTCTTGCCAGTGATCCCAGCACTTGGGAGACTCTGGAAGAAAGAATGCCTCAAGTTTGAGGCAAGCCTAGGATGCACAGTGAGTTCTAGGCCAGCTTGGGCTAGAGAGAAGCCCTGTCTCACCCCTCCCCACCCCACCCCACCAAAACAAGAGGTGAAAAAAGGATAGGTAATATGCTTCCTTCTTATAGTCATACTTAGAACAGCCCTGGGTGCCACCATCCCAGACTTCCTGGTATTCACCTGTGTTTGGGAGCAATAATCTATGGCAGAAAGGATGGTATGTGACTTCTGATATTAAGATACCATGCAGCTTCTGTTCCTATCAAGCTCATGTGCTTCCCCTTGGATCACATGTCTTAAGCAGTGATGTAATGAGGAACTGAGGCCTCCAGCTAAAATGAAAGGCTCTTGTTCACAGCTTCAGGAGTATTCTCTGAACTGTGCATCTAAGGACAATGATCTCACAGCCTGGGGAAGTACTGACGTAATTGAAGCCCTATGACTTCATGAGAGACCCTGAGTCAGAAGCACACAGCTGAGCTGCTTCTGACATCCAACATAAACTCAAATGTTTCTTATGTTACCCAGTTTAGAGTAACACACAAAACAAAATCAATAGAGATGAGAAAAATATGTATATGCACACATACATGTATTTATACCCATTTTCATAAAATGCTAAAATGTAACACTACAACAAAAATTAATGAAACTGGTTATTTATAGAAGGAATGGGATGATAGAAATGACTTTGTATCCCTGGATGGCCTGGAACTATGCAGACCAGGCTGGCCTCAAACGCACAGAGAACTAACTGCCTCTGCATCCAGAGTTCTGGGATTAAAGGTTCGAGCCACCACAGTGGACAAATGAACAGCATTTTAATTGTCAACATAAACCACTATTTTCAGTATGAAAAAGTATCTGCAAGCATGGCAAGACAATGTGAATATATAAATTAATACCACACAACAAGACACTCAACAGGTTTAAAGATGGTGAATTTTATGTTTCACATGCTCTACAATGAATTTTTTAAAGCAAAAAGTAAAAATCTAGGATCTTCATTTAAATCACCAATAGTATAAATTGATGAAACTGTTTCTAAAACAAATACCCAAATGTCTTTCCTAGATTTGTCCACTGAAAAATCTGGAAGCAATAATCCATGCAGTAGCAACGAATCCTAGTTGTGATCCCAATCCTATGAATCCCAGTCCCTATGGAAAGGAACCGGAGCTCCTTGAACCACAGGTGGATTCCAAGGCTGACACAGGCCAGACACAAAGGAGTCTGGAACGTCCAACCGTCCAGGCCCATTAGAAAGCACAAAGAACAGTGAAGACCAGAGGAGACCATCGCAGGGGATGAGTGTCCACGGGAGCAGTTCAAACAACAGAGTGCCCACTACAGCAGCAGAGCAACTCCAAATTCTACAAGTTCACGCTGAAGAAGCAACCAGTCCTGGGTCTGGATCAGAATCCCAAGATGTGCTTACCATTCTGTAGTCTCAGGAGGAACTATTCAAAAACAGAATGGACATCATATAGAAAGTGTCCAATGTTCAATGCTGTAGGATGTCATTCTGCATGCTGTGAATGTGTGTTGCTCTAATTGGTTGATAAATAAAACGCTGATTGGCCAGTAGCCAGGCAGGAAGTATAGGTGCGATAAGCAGATGAGGAGAATTCTGGGAAGAGGAAGGCTGAGTCAGGAGTCGCCAGCCAGACACAGGAAGCAAGATGACAAGGCAGAACTGAGAAAAGGTACCAAGCCACATGGCTAAACATCAACAAGAATTATGGGTTAATTTAAGTGTAAGAGCTAGTCAGTAATAAACCTGAGCTAATGGCCAAACAGTTATAATGAATATAAGTCTCTGTGTGTTTTACTTGGGGGACATGAGGAGAAAACTGTCCTGACCGCCGGCCAGCTGGGACACAGGAAAACTTCCAACTACAGATCAAATTGGAACAACTTGGACAATAAATGACTCAAAATCACGTTGTAACCCTAAATATAAAATAAACATATGTAATATATATGTATGATAGAAACTACAGACTGAGAAAAGAGGAGAGAAAACTTCCTTAGTGGGAAAATTGACATGTGTAGGTATTAGAGCAGAACTGCACATATATAGCTGTCCCCACCCCAACAGGGAAAGTTCAATATACTTGCCCTCTTCAAAGTGCCTTAGTGCTAGTGACTCCACCCCCCCAAAAATAATGGTCTAAAGCCGGGCGGTGGTGGCGCACACCTTTAATCCCAGCACTTGGGAGGCAGAGGCAGGCAGATCTTTGTGAGTTCAAGGCCAGCCTGGTCTACAGATCGAGATCCAGGAAAGGTGCAAAGCTACACACAGAAACCCTGTCTCGAAAAACAAAAAACAAAAAAAAAAAAAACGGTCTAGAAGGGGGAAACAGTCAAATCCAATGGAGAAATCCGCCATAGTAATGGCACATGGATATTGTGTAACTCCTTACACACTAGATTTCTTTTTCTTTCTCTGTCCTTCATCCCTCTTCCCTTCTCTCCTCCCTCCTCCACCTCTCAAAGCCAGTAAAATAAGATCAATCTAATCAGGAGGAAAAATATCAGATAAAAGTCACAGTGAGGGGGTTCAACAAAATGTCTGGCATGAACTCATCGACACTATCAGGATCACAGAAACTAAAAAACCTAACAGTGGCAGAGACCACAGAAGGCTACAGATATGAGTGGATCTGGGAACAGAAAATGGATATTAATGAAAAACCTAGTTAAACCTAAATAAATCCTGGAATTAAAAAGTTATCTATGTGGTCATGGAGATAGCCCACAAAAAAACTGCACTAATCTTTGGAAGTGGCTGGGGTACCACTTCATTACTCTGAAAAATAGTAAATAAAAGGAAAGATCTAGTGTTTAACCCATCTTTCCTAAATGAATAACCATCAAAGTACTTATAAAAGAAAACTGTTTTAGAACTCCAACTAATAAATCAGAAGAAATGACAGGATTAAGGTCTCAGAGTTTACAACCCCCAACGAAAAGGATCGTTATTGACTTCCCAAACCAACAGGTAAGCTTGTTGGAGAATTCCTGATGAGTAAACCAGGCTGACAGCGAGAACATGGTCAAAACTTAACATCACAGAGAAACCAGTCCTAACACATGGAGTGAAATGCACACAGAACCATATCCACCAGAGACTCATTACCATTCCACATGAAAGGAAAGAGGCTTGAGTAACCCAAACTAGCACAGATGGAATCTTTAAAAATTAGCCCCACACCTTTAATCCCAGCACTTGGGAGGCAGAGGCAGGTGGATCTCTGTGAGTTCAAGGATAGCCTGGTCTACAGAGTAAGTTCCAGGACAGCCAAGGTAGTTACACAGAGAAAACCCTGTCTCAAAAAAAGGAAAAAAAATTAAAAGGCAATTTTCTTTTTCTTTTTTTTACATAAGAGACTCAGAATGGAAGTCTACTGACATTAAAAGCAGATGTTGGTTATAACCTAAAATCAAATCTTATTTTTTTCCCTTTTTGGTTTTTCAAGACAGGGTTTCCTGAAACTCACTCTGTAGACCAGGCTGTCTTCGAGCTCAAAGAGATCTGCCTCCCGAGTGCTGGGATTAAAGGTGTGTGCCACCATTGCCCAGCTCAAATCTTATTTTTAAGATAATATTACATTTGGAAAAATGCCCAATGAACATGTACTTTCTATGTGTTGTATATATAGTATGTACACAATAGTGTGGCTGTGTACATGTGCACACAGGTACACATTCATGTTAGTATGTGCTTGTGGAGGCCCAAAAAGGCTTGAGGTTTAGATCAGGTGCCTTTTCCTCACCTGCTCTCCAAACTTTTTTGAGACAGGGTCTCTCACTGAATCTGAAGCTCATGGATTTACCTAGGCTGGGTGGCCAGTGAGCTTCAGGGATCCATCTATCGCTGCCTCCACCCCAACTGTTGGGTTACAGGAGCAGGCCACCATTCCTGACAAGGTTCTAGGTCCTCATGCTTGCTTAGCCAACACTCTAGGGACTGAGATATCTCCCCAGATCTTACACTTCCATTCTAATTGTGATTGAGAAGTTGTTTTAAAATCTACCTTTATTACAAAAACCATGTCCGACTGCTCCTAGGAGAGATGGGTAGAAATTCAGTTTACAGTATTTCCTCAACGATATTTTACAAATCAGAATTTTAAAACAAGATTTCAACTTGGCATTTCATTTCTTCATATTTAAAATACAGAAATTAGCTGGGCAGTGGTGGTGCACACCTTTAAATCCCAGCACTTGGGAGGCAGAAGCAGGTGGATCTCTGAGTTCGAGGCCAGCCTAGTCTACAGAGGGAGTTCCAGGACAGGTACCAAAGCTGCACAGAGAAACCCTGTCTCAAAAAAACAAACCAACAAATAAATGAAATACAGAAAGCTAAGGAATAAAACAATTACAAGTTGAGTATCTCTTATCCAGATGCTGACAATGGTGTTTTGGATTTTGGAATTGGTGTGGTGTAATATCCTGGGCATAGCCCCAAGTCTGCACATCAAATTCATGTATGTTTTACATATCTCTTATAAAAACAGCCTGAAGATAATTTCATATAGTATTTTCAGTGCAGCTGTCAATTTGACAGTGAACTGTGAGGGCTTACTCCTGTAATCCCAGCACTAGGAAGACAGAGGCAGGAGGAACATTCAAACTACTAAGTTTGAACCCAGTTTAGGCTACATAGTGAATTCCAGACTACTCTGGGCTATACAGTGAGACTGTATCTTTTTTTTTTTTTTTTGGTTTTTCGAGACAGGGTTTCTCTGTGTAGCTTTGCGCCTTTCCTGGAACTCACTTGGTAGCCCAGGCTGGCCTCGAACTCACAGAGATCCGCCGGCCTCTGCCTCCTGAGTGCTGGGATTAAAGGCGTGCGCCACCACCGCCCGGTTGAGACCGTATCTTAAAATACGCACACGAATGCACACACACAACAGTTAAAAAAAAATTGCTGAGTGCCAATTGGACTATGAGAGCCTTCACCCAGTAACTGATGGAAGCAGCTGCAGAGATCCACAGCCAAGCACCAGGCCGAGCTCCAGGAGTCCAGTCGAAGAGAGAGAGGAGAGAGTCTATGAACAAGGGGCATCAAGATCATGATGGGGAAACCTACAGAGACAAGCAAACCAAATTATGAACTCATGAACTGTGGGCCAATAGCTCTGGAGCCTCCATGGGACTGGACTAGGCCCTCTGCATATGTGAGACAGTGATGTAGCTTGATCTGCTCTAGGATCAAGTGGCAGTGGGACCAAGATTCATCCCTAGGACATGAGCTGGCTTTTTGGAGCCTACTACCTATGGTGGGACACCTTACATAGCCTTGGTCCAGGGGGAGGGGCTTAGACCTGCCTCAACTGAGTGTATCAGGCTTTGCTGACTTTCCACGGGAGGCCTTGCCTTGGAGGTGGGAAAGGAGGTTGAGATGGGGGTGGGGGGGTTGGGAGGTGGGAGGAGGGAGGGGAGGGGATCTGTGATTGGTATGTAAAATGAATAGAAAATTTCTTAATAAAAAAGACAGAGCGGGGGTGGGGGGGGGGTGGGGGGGGGGTGGCGCACGCCTTTAATCCCAGCACTTGGGAGGCAGAGCCAGGCAGATCTCTGTGAGTTCGAGGCCAGCCTGGGCTACCAAGTGAGTTCCAGGAAAGGTGCAAAGCTACACAGAGAAACCCTGTCTCGAAAAACCAAAAAAAAAAAAAGACAGAAAAATTGCCTCAATATGGTGTCATGTTCATGCTCAAAAATGTTTGGATTTTGGAACATTTCAAAGGTCAGATTTCTGGAACTGGGATATTCAATCCGTTTGAGCTATCAGTGATATTTGCAATACACAAATGGGAAAATAAGTGCAAAGAACTCAACAAATCATCTATGCTGGTGGTTCTCAATTTGTGGGTTGTGACCCCCTTGGGGTCAAATAACCCTTTCACAGGGGTCACCTAAGACCATCAGAAAACACAGATGTTTACATTACGATTCATAACAGTATCAAGATTACAGTCATGGCCGGGCGGTGGTGGCGCACGCCTTTAATCCCAGCACTTGGGAGGCAGAGCCAGGCGGATCTCTGTGAGTTCGAGGCCAGCCTGGACTACCAAGTGAGTTCCAGGAAAGGCGCAAAGCTACACAGAGAAACCCTGTCTCGAAAAACCAAAAAAAAAAAAAAAAAAAAAAAAAAAGATTACAGTCATGAAGTAGGAACAAAAATCATTTGATGGTTGGGGATCATCACCACACCATGAGGAACTGTAATAAAGGTCACAGCCTTAAGGAGGTTGAGACCCACTGCTCCACATGAACAATAAACACAGCTATTATCTCTGCTCTCCTTCAGTTAACAAGCTACGCCATCAGTCTCCAGATCGGAAACCCCTGTACTTACTGACTCACTCACTCACTCACTCACTCACTCACTCACTCACTCACTCATTCACTCGCTTCATTAAGCACATCCTTTGTACCAAGGTGTTATGCTAGCCATATCTGACTCTTCCTTCTCCCTCATCTCTCCGGCCCTATTAGGGGCCCTAGTTCTATGAATGTGGATGTGTCCCACTTTCCCTCTGTCCCTTCCAAATGTCTGCAGCAGGTCCCCACTAATTTGCTTTAAAGTATTAACCACTGGGGGCTGGAGAGATGGCTCAGAGGTTAAAGGCACCTGCTGGTCTTGCAGAAGACTTGGGTTCTGTTCCCAGGTCCCATATGGCAGCTCACAACTCCATCCACTTCCAGGGGACCTGGTGCTCTTGGAACACACACTGCACCACTTGTGTGCCCAGTGCTGCGGAGGCCAGAAGAGGGTATCAAATCCCCTCAAACTGGAGTCAGAGGACTATGAGCAGCTGTGTGGGTGCTGGGAAATGAACCCAGTCCTCTAGGAGAGCAGCCAGTGCTCTCAACCACTGAGCATCTTTCCAGCATTTGATCTTGACATGTGCAATGGCTTCTTTGTTTCCAGTCTCGGCTTTCTGTTGGACCATGGATCTCCATTTCACCTTACATCATAGTTCTTCAAACAGGTAAGAATATAGTCTCCTAATGTAAACCACCCCTACTCTGTTTGCAGTGGGTCTTTCTTCTACCCTGTTAATGTCAAGTCCGAGCTCAAAGCCTACTTCAAAGTCTATCTGCTCCTTGGAGCGTGCAGTCCTGTAAGTATTCCAGTTACACTCCTCTTTCTTCTGACTTTCTCTAACAGTTAGGACTACAGAGTATAACCATTGGTTGTTCCAGGACTATTGTGTGTATGCTGGCTTTGTCTCCCCAAATATGGTATCCCA